AGTCAAAGCTCTGTCTACTTCTCCAAGGCAGCAGCCTGCTTTACGAAAGGTCTGATAATGAATCTTGTGCACCTATTATGTGTGAAGGTATCATGCAAGGAACCGGGACTGCTGAAGGAAACAAGACAGAGTCACTACCTGCCTAGAAAGGTAGAGCGTGTGTGGCAGGCATAAGGCTACTAAAGAAATGTCAGCTAGCCTGTCTGTCTGGGCACAGGGAAGATGGAATTTCCTATCCTCTGGCTGTGGTGGGTCCATGTGACCAGCACTGGCCAATGAGTTGTCAATGAAGTGACATTTGTCACAGGCTGGAACACTTAATTCCCAGGGCAGAATCTCCTTCTCTTGTCCCTGCCAATACAATAGGAGAGACAGCCTTTGAAAACTCATGCTTCTGAGTGACTTTGATGAGCAAAGCTCCCACTGAACTGGGGTTGGCTCAAGATTAAGTCACTGAGACTTGGAGTGTTTGTTTCTGTGCATACACCAGCCTTAACTGACTGATACACCATGTAAGCAAATCAATTACAATATGGATAAGTGCGACTGCACAGGACTTGTATGAAATGCGCAGCATAGAGAAGCATGTCATAACTCTCTTTAAGAAGAAACATATATATCTTTAATATTCTGTTTTGAAAACACCTAGGTACTCTGTTGGATTTCTTGCATCTTTGATTGTATTAATTGTGGCAATGCTTGAATTATAAGACAGATAAGCTCTCTAGAGAATCAACTCTCCCCCTACCCTTTAATAACCACAACTTAATGTGATAAAGTCCATGGCTGTTGATTGTTTTTCAGAAACTTCCAGAACTCAAGGAGAGGGGACACCGGGGCCAAGTTGGGTCCCCATGTTAGGATTTGCAACTTCTTCCATGGAAAGATGTTTGCTTTGTGTCATATCTCTTTTTTAATTTTCAGAGTAACTAAGGTGTTTTTCTCTCCAAAGTTTTTTTAATTTTGAAAAAATTTTAAACTTACAGAAAAATTGTAAGAACAGTACCCAATGAATACTCCATAGCATAGGTTCAGCAATTGTTCTCATTTTACTTATATTTTAGATACCTTTCTCTCTTCTTTTCCCCTCTGCCTCCTCCTACTTTTGGTTGAATCTTTTAAAAGTGGCAGAGATGATGACCATCTGCCCTAAATAGTTTGACATGTACCTTCTAAAAACAAGAACATGTTCTTACTTGACCACATATAATGATCACACTCAAGAATTTTAAACTGGATACAAGATTATTATCTAATATGTACTCCATTTTCAAATTTCCCCAGGTATTCTCAAAGCTGTCCTCTATTATTTTTTTTAAATGTCCTCCACCTAGGATCAAGTATTGCATTTGATTGTCAAGTTTCTTTACTCTTTTAACCAACAATAGTCCCCATCCCTGTTTCTTCTTGTTCAGGACACTGTCCTTTGTGAATGGTGCCACATCACAGTAACTCCTTAGAAAGGTCATGCTCATTAAAATGGGCTTGGAGAGTTTTCATCAGGGACACACTTTTTGTCCTGGAAAAAAATAACTGCTAGGTTGCAATGGATTTTTAAGAAGCAGCATTGACTCTGTTTAACCCAAGAATTCATCAGACCCCAAGTACCTTGTGGGAAGTCTGGAACTGCTCTTATTCCTGGTCCCTTTCCCTAAAAACTAAGGCATCTCGTGAGCCCAGAAGGGAAATGTTTGAAAGATATTGGGCCAAATGTATTGAAAATAGTGAGAGAAGATACAAAACTCCTTTCACTTGTCCTTTCTTTCAGTTCAGTGGTACCTCAAAAGCTGATGCAGATGCAGATACGTTTAAAAGTCTCCCTTCTGTTAAAGCCAATGTAATATACACATCCAGCATAAACATTTTTCTGATGAATTCTCTGAAATTCACGCCACACATAGGGCAGAAAGACAGCTGCCATGGAAAGACACCGAGAATTAATTTGTTCAACAACCCTGGAAAAAAAAATACCCAGACTTCTAGCCACCTAAGAGGCACAAATTTTATTTGCCTAAAACCTCAGAGAATCTCCCTAGAGAGGATTTCTTGCTCCTCTGGAAGTTTCAAAGACATTTCTGTTTTCCGACAGATCATGTTCTTGACACATTGCAAAGCTATGGAAAATGTTTTTTTTTTTTTTTCCTTAAAAGACGCACCACACAGTTTATTTACCTTCTCTCTCACAGATTTTGAAGGCTTTTTTTCCTGCCGTGCAATACTAGGGTGCATCCGTAAGGTGTCAGCACCTTCATTGTAACCAGAACGGTCGTTTTTGTGTGTGTGCGTGTGTTTTTAAGCGTAGTTTCCCGATTGGCCTCAAGGTGGCGCCATTACCACAGGTCCACCCGAGCCGCCTCCAGGTGCAGGAGCCAGTGGCGCATGCAATGCGGTGCTGGGGTAGGGGTGGGGGGGGGGGGGAGCAGGGTGTGAGGTGTGTGTGTGGCGGCGGGGTGGGGGGGAGATAGCTTGAATATCTTTTGCCTTTATCATCGCTTATTGTTCTAGAAGCACATAGGGCCCTCTGGGGCTCGATTCCTTTCCGCTCACTGACAATAATAAGGTCAGGAAAGGAAAAATCAGCAAGAAATTAGCATGCCCCAATCCAAAATACCCTGGCAGGTTAAAGAAAAGATCGGAAATATGGTTTTTGCAAAGTCCAGGTGTGTGGAAGGTGTTGTTTTAATAACCTGAACAAACATTTCTCCCGGAGTCCTACTGAGCGGAGAAGAAACCTAATTCCAGGGGCAAAGGAAAATGTCTCTCTCACCTTTTCAGTCTTGATTATAAGGATTTCTTCCCTCCCACCCCCACTTTTTGGGGGGGGGGAGTTGTAATAATTTTGGCAATGCGACCTAGTTCTTTTCAGATGACATTGGTTTAAACCTGGACATCCTTGTAAATGCAAACTCAGGCAGAAACTGAACTTTTTGAATTTATTTTCCATGGTCCTTAGCTATTTTGGGTTTTACCCTGTTCTGTGATAAAGCTTTTTAAAAAGCACCTCGTAAAAGCAGAGTAAATAATATTCCTACAGGAAGCCTACAGACCGAGGTGTGTTTCTTGATCAATAGTTTGCATTTCCAGTAAAATTGTGAGCAGAACTCAGAGTGCCTGTCAGGCACTCCAGGAGAAAGGCACTTTTTTGCCAGGATTTTTTTTTTTTTTTTTTAAGATGGATGTGAACGTACTAGAGGTATTAAAAATAATAAAGTCGTAGTGGGAGTTGGGGAATGGGAGAACCTCAAACCATTCACCTATGAACTGAGAACTGGGTAGCTTTAATTTACTTCGTTGCAAAAAAAAAAATATATATATATATATACATATATGTATCGAGTTTGAAAAAGAACTCAGGGCAGCCATAAAAAATATAGTTAGCGTTTCAGAAGTAGAATATTCGAGGTAACAGGAACTCGTTTTGTACATTCTGTTTGATTTTGATTATCATGAGGTAATACTATTAATAGATAATGCACATAAATTTTTTTTATTAAAAAAATGAATGAGATGTTCCCGATTCCTTCTATTCATCTCCCCAAAGCTAAGAGTGACGGTAGATTCTCTCAAGCCCTTTTCCTAGGAATCTAATAAGCAAATGATAGAAGAGTTAGGAGGGGAAAGGAAACTTGAAACAAAAGTTTTATCTGGTTTTCTTCCCTATCCAACCGCACGACAACTTCTAGAAAAATTATGACCAGCATATAGCCCTTCTTATGGGGGTCCCCGCCCCTTCAGGGGAAGCGGGCAAAGGGAGGTCTGGTTATTCGAGGTATTAAAGGAATAAATACTTAGTCCACAAATAAACGAACTTTCTGGGATTCCTAGAGAGAAGGAGAAAACTTGAAAGGGTGAGGATCCAGAGTCGCTTTAAGTCCATATCCAGAATAATATCTCTGGGGTGTCTTAACCGTTTGCAATCGCTTACTCCGTCCTTCCACGGAGCTCCGATACCCAAATAGCTTATCAAACATCAACCAACCAACCAAGACTGAAATATAAAGTCGGCTTGGAGAACCCCAAGGAGGCTTTGCCAGGAGCCCGAAGGAGTGTCTGGGTTGGTGTTCGAGGCGCCGTACAGGGTTGGGGATCCGCGCTAGGGACGCGTGTTGTGGGGCGAAGCCCCCGGAGAAAACCGCTGGGTTTTTCTGCTCGGGCAGAGGAGCCCGGCTCTGCCCGGCCCGGGGCTCGCTGCATTGTTCTCGGCTTTCGGGAGCGCGGGAGTCAACTTGTCAAAGGGAATTTCTCCCCGCGAAAAGGGAGCCACACTGCGAAGCCGGAGTCGGTGGGCTGCAGGCGTCTACGCGGGAAGGGAAAGGGGGAACCGAGTAGAGTTATTTCACTGTCTTCCTAAACTTCCACAAAACTGCTCACGATGACGCGGGTGATTTGCCGAATCCACGGCGAATTTAGAGGATTAAATTCTCAAGATAATGTTACTTTCCCGCTCCGCCTTTCTCCTGTAGACGCCGTGGCCCGCCTCCTCAGGTGGGGGTGAGGGGCATTCCATATCTATAATTTACCCCTAAAACCTTTACAGGTTATTCTTGACGGCCCCGAACCTGGGAACTCCCTGTTGATTATTATTTGCTTAAATAATTACAACATTCAGGGAGGCCCCTTCCATGCCAATCCAGCACGTTTGCTTTGAATCCATTACACCTGGGCCCAGATAATTAGGAAATCTAATTATTCGCCTCATCACTCATTAATAAGAAAAATAGTCCCAGGGTCTTTGCTACTTACAACGTCTTTGGGGAGAGAGAGATTTGACCACGTTAATCAATTCGATTTTATATTTTAAACTAACTTTTTTCCTGCAAAGGAGAGTGCCTTTTTTTTGCTCTGGACACGTGGGCCCATTAACCAAAATATGATAATAAAATAAAATTTCATAAGATACAACACTTGGAAAAAAAAAAACTTTTCAAGTTAAGACTGAGCTGCATTAAAGTCTGGCTCCGCTCGGCTGGGTCTTAGAGCCGACGGATTCAGGCGCTCCTCTCCCTGATTGGTGACAACTCCCCACAGTTGCAGCGTTATTGGTCCAAAGTTCCCGGAGGGGGCGTGGCAGGAGGAAAGTAAAAACTCGCTTTCAGCAAGAAGACTTTTGAAACTTTTCCCAATCCCTAAAAGGGACTTTGCTTCTTTTTCCGGGCTCGGCAGGGCAACCAGTCTGGACCCCGGCTCGCTGACCCTCACGGCTACCGATTTGCTGGGGGTTTGGAGAGCCGCCTTCCCCCTCCTGGCACCGACTGGGGGCCCAGCCTTGGTCCACCCCGCGCGTGGCGTATCCGCTGCGTCCCCCACCGCCCGCCCGGGCTGCCACCCGCCGGGTCCCGAGAGCGAGCGAGCGAACGAGCAGGGCCCGGCGCTGCGCTCGCCCTGGGCGCGCCCTCCAGGATGCTGATCCGCCCAGTCCGCTGAAAACGAGCGCCCCTTCTCCTCCCGAAGGCGGGCGCCCAGCGCCGGCGCCTCCTCCACCTCGTCCCCGAGGCTTCCAGGCGCCCCGGGCTCCCCCCGCCGGCTCCCTTCCTCTCTTGCGCGCGCTCTCTCGCTCGCTCTCTCTCCCTCTCTTGCTCTCGCAGGGCCTTCCTTACGGTCCGTGCGCGAAGGCGGTGACGAGCCGTCTCGGACGCAGCATGCAGGCACGCTACTCTGTGTCCGACCCCAACGCCCTGGGAGTGGTGCCCTATTTGAGCGAGCAGAATTACTACCGGGCAGCGGGCAGCTACGGCGGCATGGCCAGCCCCATGGGCGTCTATTCGGGCCACCCAGAGCAGTACGGCGCAGGCATGGGCCGCTCCTACGCGCCCTACCACCACCACCAGCCCGCGGCGCCCAAGGACCTGGTAAAGCCGCCCTACAGCTACATCGCGCTCATAACCATGGCGATCCAGAACGCACCCGAGAAGAAGATCACCCTGAACGGCATCTACCAGTTCATCATGGACCGCTTCCCCTTCTACCGAGAGAACAAGCAGGGCTGGCAGAACAGCATCCGCCACAACCTCTCGCTCAACGAATGCTTCGTCAAGGTGCCCCGCGACGACAAGAAACCTGGCAAGGGCAGCTACTGGACCCTGGACCCGGACTCCTACAACATGTTTGAGAACGGCAGCTTCCTGCGGCGCCGGCGGCGCTTCAAGAAGAAGGATGTGCCCAAGGAGAAGGAGGAGCGGGCCCACCTTAAGGAGCCGCCCCCGGCGGCGTCCAAGGGCGCCCCGGCCGGGCCCCCCCTAGCGGACGCCCCCAAGGAGGCCGAGAAGAAGGTGGTAATCAAGAGCGAGGCGGCGTCGCCGGCGCTGCCGGTCATCACCAAGGTGGAGACGCTGAGCCCCGAGAGCGCGTCAAGTGGAAAAGGAAACGAACTTCTACTGAGCACCTATTGCAGTTGGGGACTATATCTCGGATATACGTCAAATGTTTTTAGCTCATTTTATCCTATGAAATCCTACCCAGGTAGCTGAACCTCATTTTACAAAGCGACTGGGGCTCAGAGCAACAAAGTAACTTGAGTGGCATTTACATGGTAAGAGGAAGTGCCAGAATTAGAACCCAGTCCAGCTGCCTGCTGTCACGTTCACCGTGTTCTCGTTCTATCACTTCCTGTCTATGCATCACTGAGAATCTTAAATATATCTTGGAGAATAAGCACTAAGTATATTGTCTTAATTTTAAGTTATAACAATCACGTGGTAATGAATAGCCTTGTCTCATTGTTTCTGGTAGAACTTTTATCAGTAAGTTAAATTA